AAAACTGTTGAAGGAAATTAAAAGTTAACTGCCTTGGCAACTGCCTGCCACATCTATTTATTTTATTGTTTGTTTTGAAATACGTCAATAAAGTCAAAACAAAGTAGTGTGTGAGAGTGTGAGAGTGCTGATCCATCGCCCGAGGGTGTCGGAATAATCTGGGTCATAAAAGCTAAGGTAGGCGTCCCAGACACGCACCTTGTATTAAAAATCATGAGCTTATTCTACTTTGTGTTACTCCTACAGTGACCTCTGCAAGCCCGGGTTCACAATAAGCCAATCTCGGAACACGTAATTATTCCAAGATAATCAGACTCAGCCAAAGAATCCACCACTGGCAATGTAGTTGTCCACAAGTTTGCAAGCATCCTTTTTTTCTGTAGCCAGAGTGTAAACAACAAAACAATTCCAGAGGACTAATTCGGATCATAGAACCGCTTGGAGAGGAGTGTTGCGGAGAAACCGCGTTCACAGAAAACTTCGAAAAAGCAGACCTGAGGGAGGAGATGTTTGGACTGCGTATGTTTGCGCACATTTCAGACAATATAAAACTGCAACTACTGCTCCAAAACAGGTCCAAGTGTAGGCGGCGAAGCCCACCCAAATGTGGCCAAGGACAGATTGTGCACCCACACACAATGTAATGTCACAATGTAATTGTCAACTCCAAAAAAATATACAGCTCAGCAATCCACTTTGGGCGTTTCCAAAAAAATATACAGCTCAGCAATCCATCTGTCTCGCAGTCTTGGTAGTAGATGCTGCTCCTCCTCTTTCAGCGAAGAATAAGCAGACTTCAAGGAACCCTACGGCTGCAAAAGACACTAATTGCACAATCCCTCATGGTACGCAGGCACCAAAACTGGTGTGAAGGTACAGTTAGAAGGCAGCACTGTGTTGAACTTCTGTGACAGCTGCATGACGCATGGCATATGTGAATGTCACTGCTTTTCTCTCACAAACAAACACATATACTATTAACAGCCTTCCGTCAGAATTTTGCATGAATTCTTGCTTTGAGGCCAAATACACAAAGCACTACGAACGCAGAAGGACCACGCACCACGTTTGGTCCAAACACACCAACATAAATAATACCATTACAAAACTCTTTTCTTTAAAAAACTGCTTTTCAAAACACATCTCAGCTGTGCTGTCACAACGTCGCCTGTGTTCTGCTACACCGAATCAAACTGATCGACACTCTTTTTCCCAGCTGTTACATTTGTGCTCACGCTCATTTGCGTCATCTTGAAAAACCCAGTCATGTTAAGGCTGGAAAAGGATTAGGTGAATTTGCATAGCAGGAATAAAAGGCTGATGACAAAAGAAGGATTCAAGCCGAACTCTGAGACTGTCCAAACCCTGTCGTTATAAAAACCTAATATTTGTACACCAGACACACACCAAAACTTTAGCCTGGGAAGAAAACAAAAAAGTAGTCGCACTGGTTTAAGTCGGCATGTGTTGCAACTGATAGTCGTCAGTTGCTCCATCTCTGTGTCTATAAAACGCCTGCGAGCCTCAATTTTTAACTGTGTTTTCTCCGTTTAGGAATTGCATGGCTTTACATCGGGATGTCGTCATACAAACGAATGGTTGTGTCTGTTCTTAAAGAAATAGTGAAGTGCATGGCAACATGTCCACGTGGGCTGCATGGACACGACGTGTCCTTAGAAGGTCAGACCGGCCATAACCATATCACCATTTAAACAGCTTCAGGAAAATATATTCCACACACAGACGTCTCCTGGTTTACGTTCTAATCAATTGTATTGATTGACTTGTGATATTTAGGTCATCAGTTCACATACAGAGACGGCTGGAGCCTGCGTGTCCTCCACATATCTCATTGTTTGTCTTGACACAGTTCACACATGCACTTTGGGACATCTGAATTGATTAAAAGTGAGAATCAGTGGGGTTACGTCACCCTGACGTCCACTGATAAAGTTGTATATATAATTTTATTTATTCTAATGATTTCACAGTTGAATCATTAAGGGAAAAGCCCGTAAAAAAAAAACAATGGAAAGGTCTGATCCCCTAACAGTATTTAGCACGTCACTTTATGCTGACTCTTTACACCTCAGAGTGAACATAATAAAATCAGTTAAAACTCTAATGTGGGAAGAGCACCGTTTAAAGTTCTTCAATGTGACAGAAAAAATATATTAAGAAAGTTCTGTGACATCAAACTGCCTGATGGGTAATGTTACATCTTGTTTGGTTCAAATTAACACTGTTTTTTTTATTATTATTATTACATCTGTTGCACCTATAACAGATGCACATTTGCATCATTGCAGTGAAGTCTATAGTATTCCTCCAATAGTCTGTGTCGTTGGTGAAGTGGCCGTTTGCATCAGAATCATGTTAGAGACAAACTAAGACGTTAAACTGAGTTCAGCTTTGATGGAGTGGGAATCCACATATTGTGGCTCAAAGATGAGAATTTAAGGCAAGAAAGAAACCAGGTGTAGGTCACAAAGATAAACAGCCTTACAGATCTGTAAATCATGACAAACATGGTGGCCTATAATACATGGCTCAACTTACAGCTCCATGAAACTCTTAAATGTCAAACATTTAAACACAACTGGATGTCAGGTGGACAGACTGCAGAGGAACTAAACGTCAAACATTTAAACACATGAACTCTAAGAGTTCTCAACTAAATGTCAGGTGGACAGACTGCAGAGGAACAATACAATTATGAAGCATAAGAAAGAAAGCACACAATTCACATAACGACCAAAACAAAAACCCCAAGTTTTTAAATAACCAGAAATGTTTGTCCAGAAAATAAAAAATAAATAAAAAACCCAAGCATGGTGGCAGTATGTAACATGAGCTGAAGCAGGCAGGAACCAAATGCAGCACTCAGGACACACCGGAGTCAGTTGAAGAATTTTATTGAAGAATTCCAAACTTACAACAGTCAGAAAATCCAGTTTTACCTCAAACACTTCACAAAACACGGGCACCACAGGAACAGAGGTGACAGGACAAGTAGAAAAACCACAGTAATGGGGTAGAACTGTGAGAAGTGACAACAAGAAGAATCACAAAGACCCTTACTGACAACGATCCAAGAACAGCACCGTGTAGGAGAGAGGTATTTATACCCAGGACACAGGTGAGCCTGATGAAACTAATTAGACAGAAAGACCTGACACAGCATCTACTCTCTATTATTTAAATGGAGAAAAAAAGTATTTTAAAATCTATTTGGATAAATGAAATAAATGTGGTGATAAATGAACAGTTCCTTTTAAAGAACTAACCTTAGACGTGCGTGGCTTTTTACCAGACATGTAGGTTGTGTAGAGAAGGAACTGAAGCTGGAGATTGCACTTGAGAGAGTCTCAAGTATCAAGAGGAGAATCAAAGCACTGGCTCGTCTGATTATCTTTGTACATCATGTACTGGAGGAGCTCTGTGCTGAGGTTAAGTTAGGTTAGGGATTTTTACAGCCATACATATTCACAATTGTTGTATTTTTTTTTTTTAATAAAGGTATCATTTGATCCCTGATGATGCCTTGTTAAACGGCCACGAGAAACCTCTGAAAGTATATTTAATCATATAGAATAGAATAGAAGGGTGTTTATTGTCATTGTTTCAGCCACAACACCTAACACATGAGGTACCGTCAGCCAATCCAACCTCGACTTGAGTGAAAATGTGTTTGCTCAGACCCTCAAAGATGTATACAGTATATCTGACCTCACACAACACGAACAATATAAAATACTGTGGGTTGAAACGTGGTGAAGAAACTCTGGTCTGGCTGCCTTCATGTGAAATTACGTCCAGACATCTCCTGCACCAGAGGACCACAACAGCTCTCAGAATGTCTTAATGTTTCTGTGAATTGTGATGAAGGGCCTCTTCGCACATCTGCCTCCTCACTTTTTTTTCCTGAATCCTCCAGACACCACTTTAATCACATAAATATTTTCAGCTTTCAACGCTCTTGAACTCTCCATCCAAATATGCATGTTAATCTCCGCTCTCCTTCTCTTTATGTTTGTTTTTTCTCCACTGTGATCACATCAGCAATCACATCTAAGGCAGCGAAAGCAACAAGGATCCGATGATGATCACCTTTGGTTTAAGGTTTTGAAAAAAGTAGAACTGAGGTTGTTTTAATAAATTGATTTTCTCTAATTTAAGCAAAAACAAACAAACAGTGATCTAACACTGC